CTCGCGTCCTCGCTATCACCGAATCCAAACGACGGCTCTACCTCGCGTAAACATAAAAATATCATTTAATACACAAAGACTTCCACCGCTAAAACTTTACCCCTTATCATCATTCCTCAGAGGGTAAAATACTATTTTACCCTTCCTTGACCTAAAGTCCTCATGTTGACCAAAACCCTAAAAGTCAACAAAAGTCAACCTTGAGAGTACGCGGGGCGTACTGCTAGATGTCCACCCAGTACGCTGTGCGTACCGGAAGTTACGCCCAACGTAACCACCAGAATCAGCCACTCTCCATTTCTGGTCTTAATCGGTTAAGCCATTACTACAACTAGATCCGACTCTTTTAGTGTGTCTAAACCCATAAAGTCGACACCTTTAAGCCTTGGCATGGCTGTAAAGGCTACAACATCACATAACAACATTCTATTCCAACTCAAGGACCTAGATCTCATGCATGGTGCAATACCCATGTCCAAGATGCCATTTTTATGAGTCTATAACTCGAATAGTCTTCACACAAAGCATATAACATGAACCTTTGGGACTTAAACCCTAGAAAATGACACTTAAAGCATATAACATGAACCAAGTGACAAGATCCGAACTTTTTATGTGAGAATGAAGCTTGAACCCTTGCAAAGCTCAGATCTACACTTGAGCACCACTTCTAGCCTCCCCAACAAGCTCTTCTTCTCCTTTGCAACCTTGGAATGGCACCACCAAGCTTAGAATACACACACAATGGCTAAAGAATGAAGGTACACTCTTTTTAGGGTTTCACTCTGAGGGATGGTGGCTGAGAAGTCCAGCCACACATTCCTTTTATAGCCCCTCCAAAGGAAATTAGGGTTTGGATCTGAATAAGTTACGTCGAGCGTAACCTTGGGTACGCCCAGCGTACCTGAGGGGGAACACGTCCAAATGAGGCGCGCGAGTACGTGCAACGTACACCTTGTACGCCCAGCGTACTCGCCTACCATGAAAACCCTAACTTATCAACTTAACCAAGATGCAAGGCCAAAAGAAGAATACCTGGATTTCGGGCTGTTACAATTCTCCCCCACTAGAATCAGACTTCGCCCCTGAAGTCTCATACTGAAAACAACTCTGGATACTGATCCCACATCTCAGACTCGGACTCCCATGTCAGCTCGGACCCCTTCCGATGTTGCCACTGCACTTGTACCAGGGGTACTTCCTTGTTCCTCAGAACCTTAACTTTCCAATCCCTGATCGCTACTGGTCTCTCCACATAGTTCAGGCCTGCATCGACCTGAATATTATTTAATGGCACCACTGCCGACTCATCGGCAATACATTTCCTCAACTACGAGACATGAAAGGTATCATGGATCTGCCCCAACTCAGCAGGTAGATCCAACCGGTAGGCTACCCGGCCTACCCTAGTAATTACCCTGAAGAGTCCAATGTATCAGGGTCCCAACTTGCCCCTCTTTCTGAATCGTATCACTTCTTTCCAAGGAGAGACCTTTAGGAGCACAAGGTCACCAACCTGAAACTCGAGCTCAGACTGCCGCCTGTCCGCATAACTCTTCTGGAGACTTTGCGCGGTCAACAACCTGTGCCTGACCTGTTGAATCTGCTCGGTCGTCTGGAGTACAATCTCCGTGCTACCCATCACCCGCTGCCCCACCTCTCCCCAGCAGATGGGGGTGCGACACCTCCTCCCATACAATAGCTCAAAGGGTGGCATACCAATGCTCGAATGATGACTGTTGTTATACGAAAACTCTGCTAAAGGTAGATAGGCTTCCCAGCTCCCTCCAAAATCCAAAACACATGCTCGGAGCATATCCTCAAGCATCTGAATCGTTCGCTTGCTCTGTCCGTCCGTCTGCGGGTGGTATGCGGTACTGAAATGCAGTCTCGTACCCAACTCTTCATGAAACTTCTTCCAAAACCTGGAAGTAAAAAGCACAACGCGATCTGAAACAATCGATATCGGAACCCCATGCTGTGATACCACCTCCCACACGTATAATTCCGCCAACTTCTCCGCAGAAGAGCTCTCGCTGATGGCTAGAAAATGAGCGCTCTTCATCAATCTATCCACGATCACCCAAATCGCATCGACTCCCCTTGCAGTCCACGGAAATTTGGTGATAAAATCCATGGTAATCTGTTCCCATTTCCATTCGGGAATCTCTAGCGGCTGCAATTTACCATGCGGGCGCTGGTGCTCGGCCTTAACCTGCCGACAAGTCAGGCATCTCTCAACAAACCATGCAACATCCCTTTTCATACATGGCCACCAATACTCCTTCCTTAGATCCAAATACATTTTCATAGCCCCGGGATGAATCGAGAATTTCGATCGATGCGCTTCCTCCATCAAAATAGTACGTGCACCGCCCACAAACGGTACCCAAATCCGACCCTGAAAAGTCATAAGCCCTCGACCATCCGTAACGAATCCTGATCCCTGACCTACAACTCGCTCCCTCTTCTGATTTTCTGGTTTCGCAGCCTCAGCCTGAGCTCTTCGAATGGTATCCAAAATCGGGGTCATCACCGTCAACCTCATAAAATATCTCAGATCGGGCCACTTTCCGCCCTACGGCTCAACGCATCGGCCACCACATTAGCCTTGCCCGGGTGGTACAGGATCTCACAATCGTAATCCTTCACCACGTCCAACCATCTCCTCTGTCTCATATTCAGATTTGACTGATCCATCAAGTACTTCAGACTCTTGTGGTCTGTGTAGATGGTACACCGAACCCCATAAAGATAATGCCGCCAGATCTTGAGGGCAAACACCACAGCCCCCAATTCCAGGTCGTGGGTGGGATATCCCGAGGAACTGGACCTCTCGTAACCATAAATCACATTTGGAGAATTTGGCATACAGCCTCTCCAATCTCAATACCCCAAGAATTTCCCTCAAATGCTCCTCATGTTGTTCCCTAGACCTTGAATATACCAAAATATCATCAATGAATACGATCGCCGACCGATCCAACATCGGCCTGCACACCCGATTCATAAGATCCATGAACGCGGTTGATACGTGTATGGGCTTGATTTGATGAGTAAGGTAGTGTTTAGGTAAATTAAGAGAGAATAACAACCACAAATGATATGTGAATGGAAAGAAATGGATAGATTAGTAACAACTCAAGACCTATTAAGTTGTATACCGGTGAAAAAAATCCAAGACCTATTGGATTGAGTTCGTATCAAGTCAAGAACACGTCCTAACAAGATAATTTGTGAATTATAACAATAATTCCAATTGAACAAAGGTTTTTTTCTTAAAAATTTGTCTATTACATTTCCATGGATAAACATGGATTTATATGAAGCATTTATTACAAAGTTTGTGGTTACAAGCCAACCAACCAACTACTCATTAAAACTAGTAAATGAAATTTAAGGAAACGCTTGAAATAACACAAAAAAAAAAACGTCTACCACACTTAAGAATGACAAAAAAAAACGTCCATGTCTTCAATTAGTCTTCAATTGCTAGTAATTGATTATGAGAAGATGTAGAGTGTAACTCCTAAGGATTAAAGAGAACCATCAATGATAAGAGTGTAACTCCCAAAGTTTAAAGAGATCCATCAATGATAATAGTGTAACTCCCAAAGTTTAAAGAGAGCCATCAATGATACCTTTCCAAATGCTTCCATAATCACCCTAGCTTTGAATCCATCAATAAATGAAGTCTTGGATTTATTAAACTTTTATTAATTTAATTATGAAAACCCTAATCCATCAACTATGTCACCATGCATACCCCATAGGCCATTAAGCCCAAACAACTTTCGAGCCCAATATTAAGCTACCCATAATCTTTTGGGCCTTCATTATCCATATACGGATCATTCCCTCCTTCTTCGAAAGGAATTGTCCTCAATTCAGTAAGAACCAAATTTTGTTGTTCTCCCATATAAACCTTCCATGATTGCAGGTCTTGAAAACATATTTTAATTGCAGAATGTGACCTTTTCGTTACTCCAACTTGGTCTTTTCTCCACATACACATGTTCTTCTTCAAATAACTCAAATAACTCGCCAAATTCAATCCTAACCGTATCTTCGATTTGTGGATGAAAAACCACTTCCGTACATTCCCATGAACTTGAACCTGCAAATTAACCTTGAAATAATTTAAATGGTTAATTGTAGTCATTTTACAGAATGGATCATGGTTTGTATTTGTAAGTTGATGAGCAGCATGCCCCAGTATCACGGCTTCCCAATTAAAGGCACACCAAAGTAATATGAGTCCAAACATCATGAGCTCCCTCCTATGTAAATAATTAGGACTTGCATCTTCATATTTTCTCTTAGAAAGATGATTTGTAACAAGATGGATACCATCCTTCTTCTTTCGTTCCCAACAAACTTCACGCCATCGGTCTTCGTGTGTTTGAACAATGAATGAAGAATTAATGAAAATATGTTTTGTTTGTGGACAACATAGAAAATAGGCATAAGAATTGCCACACAATGCCTCTTTTGGTGACTGATTGATACCACCATGAACACATATTTTTTTGGAAATCATCATAATGTCTTTTGAAGGGTACAAAATTCTACCATCATCCAAAAATAATTGGTCTTGCTGTTTTTGAGCCACGAATGAAAAGTCTCTATCTCTAATTGCACAAAACTTTTTTATCAAAAGTAATACACAAGTCTTTTTTCTCCTTTTGATCAATGAACGAAGACAAAACAAAAACATCATTATTAAGATCATAATTAGTAAAATCAAACCTCTCACCAAGGCTTTCAAAATGCAAAATATAAGCATTCCATGGCCTCCAAAGTGTAAAAATCTCCCACACTTTGAAACGAAAATGAAGATGAAAAACGAATAAACCTTCTTGATCAATGAAGCTTCCAATTTGGATTTCTTTAAGATCTTTAGAAAAGAAATTATGTTCATAAAAGATATGAGAACCTGAATTTTTGTGACACTTATAGTCATTTGTTCTCGTGGTTGTAAGCTCTTGGAATGAAATTTGTTATTCAACAAAAATCACAATTTCTTCAACAATTTTGTCCATATCAACAAAATTGATTTCTTCCACAATTGCTTCAACAAATTCATCTCCGATCACGAAATTAGTTTCTTCTTCAATTACTTCAATAAATTCCTCTTCAACCAAGAAATTTATTCTTTCACAAAATTCCCCTTCTCCATCGGTGTCGTAGATGGGACCGGAATCTTCTTCCTCCTCTTCTTCAAATTTATCTTCCTCTATTTGTTCTTCATCATATAATTTGCGCAACATTTTTGGACAATAACTTCTGAACAACTAAAATAAAAAAAAAATAGCAAGAATTTTTCTTGAACAAGAACTCAGTTACACCCAATCGGAACTAGGCTCTCATACCACTTATGATACGTGTATGGGCTTGATTTGATGAGTAAGGTAGTGTTTAGGTAAATTAAGAGAGAATAACAACCACAAATGATATGTGAATGGAAAGAAATGGATAGATTAGTAACAACTCAAGACCTATTAAGTTGTATACCGGTGAAAACAATCCAAGACCTATTAGATTGAGTTCGTATCAAGTCAAGAACACGTCCTAACAAGATAATTTGTGAATTATAACAATAATTCCAATTGAACAAAGGTTTTTTTCTTAAAAATTCGTCTATTACATTTCCATGGATAAACATGGATTTATATGAAGCCTTTATTACAAAGTTTGTGGTTACAAGCCAACCAACCAACTACTCATTAAAACTAGTAAATGAAATTTAAGTAAACTCTTGAAATAACACAAAAAAAAACGTCTACCACACTTAAGAATGACAAAAAAAAACGTCCATGTCTTCAACTAGTCTTCAATTGCTAGTAATTGGTTATGAGAAGATGTAGAGTGTAACTCCTAAGGATTAAAGAGAACCATCAATGATAAGAGTGTAACTCCCAAAGTTTAAAGAGATACATCAATGATAATAGTGTAACTCCCAAAGTTTAAAGAGAGCCATCAATGATACCTTTCCAAATGCTTCCATAATCACCCTAGCTTTGAATCCATCAATAAATGAAGTCTTGGATTTATTAAACTTTTATTAATTTAATTATGAAAACCCTAATCCATCAACTATGTCACCATGCATACCCCATAGGCCATTAAGCCCAAACAACTTTCGAGCCCAATATTAAGCTACCCATAACCTTTTGGGCCTTCATTATCTATATACGGATCATTTGATTTGATGGGCTTGATTTGATGAGTAAGGTAGTGTTTAGGTAAATTAAGAGAGAATAACAACCACAAATGGTATGTGAATGGAAAGAAATGGATAGATTAGTAACAACTCAAGACCTATTAAGTTGTATACCGGTGAAAACAATCCAAGACCTATTGGATTGAGTTCGTATCAAGTCAAGAACACGTCCTAACAAGATAATTTGTGAATTATAACAATAATTCCAATTGAACAAAGGTTTTTTTCTTAAAAATTCGTCTATTACATTTCCATGGATAAACATGGATTTATATGAAGCCTTTATTACAAAGTTTGTGGTTACAAGCCAACCAACCAACTACTCATTAAAACTAGTAAATGAAATTTAAGGAAACTCTTGAAATAACACAAAAAAAACGTCTACCACACTTAAGAATGACAAAAAAAAACGTCCATGTCTTCAATTGCTAGTAATTGGTTATGAGAAGATGTAGAGTGTAACTCCTAAGGATTAAAGAGAACCATCAATGATAAGAGTGTAACTCCCAAAGTTTAAAGAGATCCATCAATGATAATAGTGTAACTCCCAAAGTTTAAAGAGAGCCATCAATGATACCTTTCCAAATGCTTCCATAATCACCCTAGCTTTGAATCCATCAATAAATGAAGTCTTGGATTTATTAAACTTTTATTAATTTAATTATGAAAACCCTAATCCATCAACTATGTCACCATGCATACCCCATAGGCCATTAAGCCCAAACAACTTTCGAGCCCAATATTAAGCTACCCATAATCTTTTGGGCCTTCATTATCCATATACGGATCATTCCCTCCTTCTTCGAAAGGAATTGTCCTCAATTCAGTAAGAACCAAATTTTGTTGTTCTCCCATATAAACCTTCCATGATTGCAGGTCTTGAAAACATATTTTAATTGCAGAATGTGACCTTTTCGTTACTCCAACTTGGTCTTTTCTCCACATACACATGTTCTTCTTCAAATAACTCAAATAACTCGCCAAATTCAATCCTAACCGTATCTTCGATTTGTGGATGAAAAACCACTTCCGTACATTCCCATGAACTTGAACCTGCAAATTAACCTTGAAATAATTTAAATGGTTAATTGTAGTCATTTTACAGAATGGATCATGGTTTGTATTTGTAAGTTGATGAGCAGCATGCCCCAGTATCACGGCTTCCCAATTAAAGGCACACCAAAGTAATATGAGTCCAAACATCATGAGCTCCCTCCTATGTAAATAATTAGGACTTGCATCTTCATATTTTCTCTTAGAAAGATGGTTTGTAAAAAGATGGATACCATCCTTCTTCTTTCGTTCCCAACAAACTTCACGCCATCGGTCTTCGTGTGTTTGAACAATGAATGAAGAATTAATGTAAATATGTTTTGTTTGTGGACAACATAGAAAATAGGCATAAGAATTGCCACACAATGCCTCTTTTGGTGACTGATTGATACCACCATGAACACATATTTTTTTGGAAATCATCATAATGTCTTTTGAAGGGTACAAAATTCTACCATCATCCAAAAATAATTGGTCTTGCTGTTTTTGAGCCACGAATGAAAAGTCTCCATCTCTAATTGCACAAAACTTTTTTATCAAAAGTAATACACAAGTCTTTTTTCTCCTTTTGATCAATGAACGAAGACAAAACAAAAACATCATTATTAAGATCATAATTAGTAAAATCAAACCTCTCACCAAGGCTTTCAAAATGCAAAATATAAGCATTCCATGGCCTCCAAAGTGTAAAAATCTCCCACACTTTGAAACGAAAATGAAGATGAAAAACGAATAAACCTTCTTGATCAATGAAGCTTCCAATTTGGATTTCTTTAAGATCTTTAGAAAAGAAATTATGTTCATAAAAGATATGAGAACCTGAATTTTTGTGACACTTATAGTCATTTGTTCTCGTGGTTGTAAGCTCTTGGAATGAAATTTGTTATTCAACAAAAATCACAATTTCTTCAACAATTTTGTCCATATCAACAAAATTGATTTCTTCCACAATTGCTTCAACAAATTCATCTCCGATCACGAAATTAGTTTCTTCTTCAATTACTTCAATAAATTCCTCTTCAACCAAGAAATTTATTCTTTCACAAAATTCCCCTTCTCCATCGGTGTCGTAGATGGGACCGGAATCTTCTTCCTCCTCTTCTTCAAATTTATCTTCCTCTATTTGTTCTTCATCATATAATTTGCGCAACATTTTTGGACAATAACTTCTGAACAACTAAAATTAAAAAAAATAGCAAGAATTTTTCTTGAACAAGAACTCAGTTACACCCAATCGGAACTAGGCTCTCATACCACTTATGATACGTGTATGGGCTTGATTTGATGAGTAAGGTAGTGTTTAGGTATATTAAGAGAGAATAACAACCACAAATGATATGTGAATGGAAAGAAATGGATAGATTAGTAACAACTCAAGACCTATTAAGTTGTATACCGGTGAAAACAATCCAAGACCTATTAGATTGAGTTCGTATCAAGTCAAGAACACGTCCTAACAAGATAATTTGTGAATTATAACAATAATTCCAATTGAACAAAGGTTTTTTTCTTAAAAATTCGTCTATTACATTTCCATGGATAAACATGGATTTATATGAAGCCTTTATTACAAAGTTTGTGGTTACAAGCCAACCAACCAACTACTCATTAAAACTAGTAAATGAAATTTAAGGAAACTCTTGAAATAACACAAAAAAAAACGTCTACCACACTTAAGAATGACAAAAAAAAACGTCCATGTCTTCAATTAGTCTTCAATTGCTAGTAATTGGTTATGAGAAGATGTAGAGTGTAACTCCTAAGGATTAAAGAGAACCATCAATGATAAGAGTGTAACTCCCAAAGTTTAAAGAGATACATCAATGATAATAGTGTAACTCCCAAAGTTTAAAGAGAGCCATCAATGATACCTTTCCAAATGCTTCCATAATCACCCTAGCTTTGAATCCATCAATAAATGAAGTCTTGGATTTATTAAACTTTTATTAATTTAATTATGAAAACCCTAATCCATCAACTATGTCACCATGCATACCCCATAGGCCATTAAGCCCAAACAACTTTCGAGCCCAATATTAAGCTACCCATAACCTTTTGGGCCTTCATTATCTATATACGGATCATTTGATTTGATGGGCTTGATTTGATGAGTAAGGTAGTGTTTAGGTAAATTAAGAGAGAATAACAACCACAAATGGTATGTGAATGGAAAGAAATGGATAGATTAGTAACAACTCAAGACCTATTAAGTTGTATACCGGTGAAAACAATCCAAGACCTATTGGATTGAGTTCGTATCAAGTCAAGAACACGTCCTAACAAGATAATTTGTGAATTATAACAATAATTCCAATTGAACAAAGGTTTTTTTCTTAAAAATTCGTCTATTACATTTCCATGGATAAACATGGATTTATATGAAGCCTTTATTACAAAGTTTGTGGTTACAAGCCAACCAACCAACTACTCATTAAAACTAGTAAATGAAATTTAAGGAAACTCTTGAAATAACACAAAAAAAACGTCTACCACACTTAAGAATGACAAAAAAAAAACGTCCATGTCTTCAATTGCTAGTAATTGGTTATGAGAAGATGTAGAGTGTAACTCCTAAGGATTAAAGAGAACCATCAATGATAAGAGTGTAACTCCCAAAGTTTAAAGAGATCCATCAATGATAATAGTGTAACTCCCAAAGTTTAAAAAGAGCCATCAATGATACCTTTCCAAATGCTTCCATATTCACCCTAGCTTTGAATCCATCAATAAATGAAGTCTTGGATTTATTAAAATTTTATTAATTTAATTATGAAAACCCTAATCCATCAACTATGTCACCATGCATACCCCATAGGCCATTAAGCCCAAACAACTTTCGAGCCTAATATTAAGCAACCCATAACCTTTTGGGCCTTCATTATCCATATACGGATCAGTGGCCGGGGCATTGGTGAGCCCAAAAGGCATCACCACAAACTCATAATGTCCATAACGAGTTTTGAATGCAGTCTTCTGAATATCTTCCTCCCGAACCCTCATCTGATGATAACCCGACCTTAAGTCTATCTTGGAGAACCAAGATGCCCCCTGCAACTGATCGAACAGATCGTTGATCCTAGGTAACGGATAACGGTTCTTAACCGTGAACTTGTTCAACTCCCGGTAATCGATACACATCCGGTGTGAACCATCCTTTTTCTTGACAAACAAAATTGGCGCTCCCCAAGGTGAGCTACTCGGTCGAATTAACCCCTTCCCCAACAGCTCCTGAAGATACAAGGATAACTCCTGCATTTCCGGTGGAGCAAGACGATAAGGCGCCTTGGCGATGGGCACCGCTCCCGAAACCAAATCGATACGGAACTCTACTTGCCTTTCCGGAGGCACACCTGGTAACTCTTTGGGGAACACATCTGGAAACTCGCATACAACAGGAACGTCGTCAACCGAATTGGGCCTCCCCGCTGCCACTCGAGTATCCATCACGTAGGCTATGAATCCATTGCAGCCCTGCTGCAAACTCTGCCTCGCCCTGGCAGCCGAACAAAACGCCGACCCACACCGGGTCCCCTCGCCATACACCGTAAGAACTCCCCCACTAGGGTCTCGAATAGTCACCAGCTATCTCTCGCAGTCAATGACTGCCCCAAACTTACTCAACCAGTCCATGCCCACGATGACGCAGACATCCCCCATCGCTATAGGAACCAAGTCTATAGGGAATTTGACCCCAAAAATCTCGAGCACACATCCTTGAATCACATAAGTGGCGTATACCGCTTTCTCATCCGCTATAGAAACTCGCAGGGGTCGACTCATCACCTCCCGATCAATACCGATGCGCTGGCTAAAAGCCAACGATACAAAAGACCGACTCGTACCCGAGTCAAATAATACCAAAGCAGGTACATAATTCACAAGAAAAGTACCTACACATATCATAATATAAGCACAATACCTTATTATAAAAGTAAATACGCGAAAGAATACATACCAGCTACGACATCAGGCACCGCGTGGACCTCCTCCGCAGTCAACTGGAAAGCTCTTCCACGCGCCTTCAGAGCCTCGGCCTTCACTGGCCAAGTCTCGGTAACCCTGGCAGCAGGCGTAGAATCCTGGCGAAGCTGGGGGCACTCGGCCTTCCGGTGGCCGGTCTGGTTGCAATGAAAGAAAACAATAAATCCCTTGGGGCAATCCCTAGAAATGTGCCCCTCCTTGCCACACTTGTAGCAAGCACCCAATCGACATGCCCCCTCGTGACCCTTGCCGCACTTTCCGCAAGTGCGGCCCTTCTGACCTCCCGATCTCGAATCGGCGGACTTGGTCCGCTTGGCTGCCGGCTGAGACTAAGTCGGCCGCCGATCCACCCGTTGAGACTCGGCCTCCTCCCTGGCCTGGGTCCCCAACTTGATCTCACGCTTCCTGGCATTCTCCTGAAGCTCAGCAAAAGTCTGGTATGACGAGTTCGATATGAACTCCCAGATATCCCTCTTCAGCACACCCAAATACCGGCTCATCCGAGCCTGCTCCGTGGACACCTGCTCAGGGCAAAACATCGCCCTCTCATGAAACTTCCGCGTGATCACCGTGACAGAATCATTACCCTGCTTGAGGGTCAAGAACTCCTGAACCAACTGTTCCCTCTCTACCAGGGGAACGTACTCGTCTCTGAACATAGTAGTAAACCTCTCCCAAGTCACAGCTGAAACCTCTGCCAGAGTGAAGTTCGCCGTCAAGAACTTCCACCAATCCTTTGCTCCCAGGCAGAGCTGGTTCAAGGTGAAACGTACCCTCAGATGCTCCGGACATGAACAAGTGTAGAAGCATCCCTCGATATCAGCAATCCATGTCATCGCAACGATCGGATCCTGCATCCCATCAAACTCGGGTGGCTTCGTGTTGCTGAACTCCCGGAATAGCAACGAGTCACCTCCCTGTGGTCTGGCAGCGGCCACAGCTGCGGTAGCTGCAGCGGCTACGGCCTCAGTCACCGCGGTGTACCGCTCATCAAAAGTCTCCATCAGAGTGGTCTTAATAGACCCAAACATCTCCGGAATCTCAGCTCGGATCACTGTAGCCACCTCCTCATGAATCATCTGACGAAGCTCCTCGTCACTCACACTGCTCGTGCCAGGTCTGTAGCGTGGTCCAACCATGATGCCTCTGAAATACAACATAGAAATATCAGAGACTCTATCGAGCATAATCGCACTCAATAACGCAACCCTACTCAGTATCCGATACCCAGGGATTCTTACTTTGGTTGCCCACTGACCCGGTGTCTTCAGTAGTACGGGCCCAATACTACCAACTACACCGCATCAGCGTTCACCCCAAGTCCTCCTCCCCAAAACCCGGATCATGAGTACTCTATTCTTGCCATGCACTAGCTACCCACTCGCTCTCAAAGCACCTCATAGCAGCAGATTTCCCTAGACTAAGGCATCACAAATCAGGCCACTCTAGTCCTAATATGAATACCTAGTCTACTAGCATGCGTATCATATCATATCATATCTCATAACACATTGTAAGAGTATTTTGGGGAGTTTACCGTTCGGGCACTGGCTGACCGTACACACTTCTTCTTCTTTGGTTGTTTCAAAATCACTTATCAAATTTTTTATTGATTTTATTAATTAAAAATTTCTCAAATCCCCGGTTTGAGTTCAGTTACGCCCGAAGGTGTATCCAAATCCCTCAAACCAAGGCTCTGATACCAACTTGTAACGACGTAAATTTTAAAACCACTTTTTCATTTTTGTAAACATCAAAACATTGATTAATATTTAAAATTCAAACGTAAACAATATTGTCACAACAGAATACATCCCAAAGGTCATAAAAATAGTTTTCCCCCGATAATGTGTACGATCACGCCGACGCCTTCCCACGATCCTCGCTAGTACCTGAAACACATAACACAACAACTGTAAGCATAAATGCTTACTGAGTTCCCCAAAATACAGCTTACACATATACGCCTTTCCAGGCCCTGACCTTTCGGTCCATATGTCTCAGGGGACTTCCGTCCCGACTACGTAAACATATTCGCCTTTCGGCCCATAATATAATGCCTTCCGGCCCATATCAAGCATATCATACATGGCACGTATAACGAATAACTCATCACACATAATACATATATCTTATAGCATATCCGACCTTCCGGTCACACAGTCAACCCTT